AAACTACCATAATTGATTTCTTTATTGCATGAGCCCAAGAGATTTTTTTTTTTTAAAATGAAAATCTGTTTTGAGCACTGAAAAATTGTACAAATAATGGAGTAACAACCTGGAACAGTTGAGGATCTTGAAAGAGGGATTGTCCTATGTTGGAATAATTATTCATCGGATTCTACGGTCATGATTGACAATCACTATGCATCTTGTTCCCATGATGATTCTTGGTCCCACCTTAAAATAGAAAGTAGCGCAGTATATACCATCTTTCAGGACCAATGGGCTTGACGTAGCCGAGTCGCCGAGTAATCAACGGTTAGAAAACCTAAGATCAAGAAATAAGCAATAATGACCGCTGATCGTGCCACGTCAAGCGACGGCTTTTAAATTAAGCACAAAGGTTTGGTAGTCAATGCCGCGGGCCCTACCACACCACCGCTCCAGGAAACACGGTCTATGGGACCCACATCTTTTTTAATTTTCTATATTGATAAATATACGAGTGAGTGACAAAATAATTAAACAACCGTAAATAATTTTCCCTAGATTTTATTTCTCTTGCACTCTAGCCCTTAAATTTTTGGCAAACTACACCAGCGCCTTCTGATTCTCCAATTTCCAATTTATTTCATATTTAATCGTATAATATAGTATCATTTTTTTCTTCTTAATTTTGTATCTATGATGAGAATAGTTAAAGTATAAGATTATAAAAACAAATTAAATTGGATTTAATTTTAAAAATTATGTCATATTTAGGTAAACTAATCAACTAAACAACTGATTTAGATTTTTATAATTTCTGAAATTTTTACTAGCTCGTATACCTATTATATTTTTTCTTCATTATTCGTTAAAATAAAGTTAAAAAATACTCACTATTAAAAAAAGAGAAAGAAAAGTGAGATAATGTATTGTTTAGCTTCTTCTTCTTTTTTACGTGTAATTTATTGTTCTCGTCTTATGAATATGACCGTTATTTTTTTGTAATAAAATAATTTTAAAATTTTTGTTGAATTTTTCACACTCAATCAAAACTCAAGAGAAATTATTATATTTTATTTTCTAATAATAAACTCCATAGTTGAAGCTGTAATAACATGGAGGATTCTTTTCAAAGTGTCATTTTCAAATATATATGTGCATCGGCGGTGATGATACAGTAATTGAATAATTAAAGAAACAGGGGCATTCACAGAGAAAACTTTAATATTAAGAGCGTAATTAGCAAAACTATAAAGATTTGGGCATGTTTTGACATTTGACAAAGAAAGCATGGCAGAACGGCAAAGCACAAAAATAAAAGAATGCTCAGCAAAGCAGTGGTGTCAACATCGCATATGCAGGGTGGTTCCCAGACGCCGACATTGTCTGCCACGTCAGCGATTAGTTATTAGGGAAGATTTGTAATTGAGCAATTAATGTTTTCTTAATCCCCACTTAACGAGACCTTTGATCATATTTTTTGCCTTAAAAAGTGACCGACCGTACAGTAATTAGCATGTGAGGTCAGGTAGGCCTCGTTGGTTCTCTACAGTTCATACAATAATGGAATGCCCACTTCAAAATTGCCCTTTCAAGAATTTAATGGCCATTTTCCATGGTAGATTATAAATTAATCCCTCTAGTTTTTTTTTAAAAAATTACTTAGTCTTATTCTTCAAAAACTAATTATTTAATTTTTTCTATTTTATGCTTTTTTGTATTTTGTTTTGTTTTGAAAAATAAAAAGTAAAAGAAATAATTATATCTTTAGAATAAAATAATATTAAATTACACGTTATCAATATTGATTAAAAAATTAAATAATTAGTTTTTGAAAGAAAAAAGGATCAATTAATTTGTTTTTGAAAACTAGAGGGATCAATTTACAATTTGCTCTGTTCATGATGATAATGATGTTTTTCAAGACCAATTATTTCTTCTTTGTTATTTATTAGTTGTTTGATTGTTTTGTATTCATGATATATTATATACCATTAAATAAGATAAAATTTCACGATGAAAAATGTATCATTTTATTAGATGTTTTTCTTTCCGAAACTTCAACATGTTTTATTGAAATAAAATTATTAAATATACAATTGTTAGATTATAATTGCTTGAGTTCAGATCTATATATTTTAATGTATGGAGTTTAAAATATATTGTTAATTGTCAACATTCAAATATTTTATATCATCTCCAAATTTCTATCTCTAATCAATTTATTTTACAAATAGTATTTTGGATATTTAAACAACATTACTCCTTTATAAATCTAGAATCTTACATGTATTTATAGAAATATTATTTTTAAATTAAATCATTAAAAGTCAAGCTTATTGCATTTGTTTCAATCATTTTGCAAAATGAAAATTATCATGTTCAATCCTTTTTTTATTCTACATTGCTCGTATCAATTTATACATCAATCGAAAATAATTATTATTTTTTAATAATTTAAGGATGCATTTCTCATATCAAGCGATGTATTCCAATTTTTTATTAAATATTAAATTTAAGTTTTAAGTCTAAAAAATCAAATAAATAAATAAATTTTTTTAATCACCGGACTAATTCGACAACTCTTGAGATTTCGATCCAACAATAGGGCTAACCATTGAATTTACCAAATGAACTAGTAGACTTTATAAACTGTCAAAATATCCAACACCATATCGTGCCTTGTCCATTACCTTTTTTTTTTTTTTTTTTTTATAAAAAAAAAAGAACAATAAACTATTAAATGAATCCTTGAACAAATCAATTATAGTTGTGATGGAATACACGAATGCTTGCCTTCGAATTTAACTTCATGATCTCCATCTAATATGTAATTGTCAAAGCCATTATGCATTTAAATTGCAAAATATATTAAAAGAGAGCACAAATATCACTATCTATGTACATCCATTGATGCAAGGTTTTACAAGGGGACAATAAAGATTGAAAACAATTTCATCTTCATACATCTTTGCACAAAATAAAATCTCTTTAATTTCTTTTTTCGTTGTTGTTGATATTTATTAATAATCGAGTATTTTTAAATTAATTTTTGTATCAATTGAGATTAAATCCATTATTTTTTAAATTAAACAAATGCTAAAATATATTTTTCTAATTGTAAAAATAAATTCTCAAAAAAATCTATAATTTTGACGTGAAATAAAGTTTTTTTTTTCAACTAGATCGGATAGGTCGGAGATTTTGACTTGTTTTTGGTATTTTTTTAAAGAAAAAACTTTTTATCTGAAGGCAGCCCACAGAATTATACAATCCAATTTCTTCTTGAAAACTAAAATTGTTTCCATATCATAATTTCACGAAGAAACTAAGAGGAAAAGGAGAGGGGAATGTAAAAAGCAATGTGAAACTTGAAAAGAATGGCTATTAATCATGTGCAAAAAATATATATGTTCATAGTGGAGAGTGATGGTGATGGTCAAAGCAAATGGCCAATAAAGAAATCACTTGTCTGTTTTTTTGCCTGTGGTGGGTGGGTTGATCACTTGCATCACTTTTTTCTATCTAAAGTCTTGGAAAATATAATTTCTTTTTTCAGAGGTAAATTATTTAATTACTCCCACACATTTTCTATACCTATATTGCTTGTTGATGTTACAAAAAATCAGGTTAATCATGATTAATAATTATAAAATTATTTTATACACATTTACATGGAAGGTAGCTTCTCCCTCTCATATCTTGTTAGATAAACCAATTAATGTTTCTAAAATTAGCTAAGAAGACAACTGGTCAAGAAAATCATAATAATATTAAGGGTTTGTCCCCTTAGGGCACATGCTAATTATTTGTCATTCCAATTCTAGCCTTTGGATCATTGGTAATTTACAGATAATGGGAAAAAACCAAACATTAATTTGATTGGTTTTGGGAGAGTTTGACATGGAAAATAAAAATCTCTTGACATCCTAATTATAAATTAAAATCATTAACAACTTTTAGAGTCATACACTCAACATCTTATTAAAATTTTCATTTTGGATTAACTCCTAATCTTAATAATTTTTATTTATTATTGAATTATTATCCAAACACGTAAAAATTATTTCAAAAAATACGACATAAATTCTTATTTTGTCAAAGATACTATAAAATTATGTTAATAACGTAAAAAGATTTAATTTGTTATTCGAATATATAAAAATTAATCCAAAAATACTTTTATGACTAAAAAAATAAAAACTATTATTTTATCTGAGGATTATTTATGACAAGACATTATGAAAATGTTATGATAATAATGTAAGAAGATTAGCAAAGATTTACTATAGTTAAGTTGAGACTTGAGAGGTCAAGTACTTAATCTACATGTGAAGTAGATTAGAGTAGGGAGGTGGCTACTTAGTTGTAAGAAATCAGTGCCATTTTCAAGGAGAGAGAGAGAGAGAGAGCCGAAATTGACAAGGGGAGAAATATAAAAAGGTTGTAGTAATCCATGTATAAAATATGGTAGAGAGAGGAAGAAAGGAAAAATAAAAAATAAGCAAAGAGAGAGAAAGAGAAGTGTAAGAAAGCAAGGCAAAAGCATAGAGAGGAAAGCAAAGGAAAAGAGAGGAAATTTGTCTGGGTAATGTAGGGGAAGAAAGGGGGCAAAGCTTCAACATTTGGTCTCTGAAAAACTCAGCAAAAACTCTCTATCCCATAAAAACCCATTTCTTCTTTTTTACTGCTTTTTTGTCTCTTCACCATTTCTCCGGCGACTTCGCCGGAATTTATCGCCGGGAAAATTCATCCACTTTCTAACAAACTGATCCCTTATATTTTTTTCCACTTCAAAGTCCACCCTTTTTTTCATTTCTTCAAAGGTTTGGTTCTTTCTTGTTTATTGAGCTGATCTAAGCTAAAAAATCTGCTCAGCTTTATAATTTTCTTACTGGGTTTCTTTTGAAGCTCGCCTTTTGAGCTTAAAAAAAGCTTAAAATTATGAGAAAGTGAGGAACTTTTGTGTTTTGGATCAAAAAGACTCTTGCTTTTTTTGAGTTTCTATAAAGAAACCAATGAAGTCACTAGCAACCGGTGCCGGAGGACCCGCCGCCGCCTCCACAGCCACCAACTGTGAAGGTCTGGCCATCTGTTTATTCATGTTACTAGTTTGTATTTACTTATTTGTTGTTGTTATAGATTTAAAGGAGAAGTGTGTAAAGCATCGAAAAAAGCGTAAGAGATTTATGGGTAAATAACTAACCGTTAAGGTTGTTTTTTCTTTAGTTTTGTCTTTATTACATGGCTTTGTATGAGCCGGTTTGTCTCAATTTTTTTGGAATCTAAGTATTTATCTATCCATATGTTTATGTAGCTGTTTCTTCTTTGCTTAAAAACAATAATTTTTTGCAAGTTTGCTTCTTTTTCCTTTTCTGGGTTTGGTTTGTTTTCCCAGGAAACAAACAAAGATAGAAGGAAGAGGTAAAAAATGAAGATTCGGAGGGGGAGTATATTGACTAATGAGTGTGTGACGCGTGGTGGTGATGCAGGGGTGGAGAAGAAGAGCATAAACCATGAGCTATGGCAAGCATGTGCAGGACCACTATTGAACTTGCCGGCGGCCGGAACTCATGTGGTCTACTTCCCTCAAGGGCATAGTGAACAGGTTAGTCAGTGTCTGTTGCTATTTTATGCCAATAATGTGTATCCTTTTAACTTACACCCTTCTTTTATTGGATTTATTGGCTAATTATTTGTGGTAAATGATGCTCTAGGGTCTGATCTAGAGTGGGCTAAGTTTTATCATTTTACCTAAACTGGTTGGTTGGGTGTAATAAATAGGTAGATTATAAGGAAAGGAAAGGTAGATCAAGTTTTGGAATTTACTTTTGAGGGTACTATTTAAGGTGGCAAGTTGAAGTTACCCTTTTTGCGTTGATTCAGATCATGTAAGACTTGATTTAATGTTAGCTTGGATAATAATAGAAATATGCATTACCTGGTTGTCATGTGCTCTTTAATAAGTACTAAAAAACATCAATGCATCATATCATTTGGCTTGTGTTTATAAAGTCAACTTATGGTCCATGGAAGTTTCTTTCCCTAGCACTGTAATATTAATTGATCAAATAACAAAAAAGAAAAATTATTATGATTTTTTTTTTTTTAAGGTTTTGACTTCTATGACTTTGTAGTTTAATGTTAAAGTTAATTAGCAAGAGTCTCACAGGTCACCGTGTATTTGCATGTCAGTTTACTTCCAATGTAATTTTTAACCATGATCTTGTTCTTTAAAACCTGACAAATGTTGGACATTTTTTTGTTGCTTTAGTAAATAATCTGTTTTGACTGAACAAGGTGAAAGCCACTTGGTGGAAGATGAAAAATATACTCAGTTATATTTGGTACATGTTCTTACTTCAGAGCAAAATTAATGATTTCAGGTTGCAGCATCTATGAAGAAGGATGTGGATGCCCAAATTCCAAACTACCCAAATCTTCCCTCGAAGCTACTATGTCTCCTTCACAATGTCACCTTACATGTATAAAAGCTGACCTTCTCGGGCCTTCATTTCTAACATCATGAAATTCTTTATTTGGTAAATCAATTATTTTGTTTCTTATGTTTGATTTTGTAGGCGGATACTGAAACAGATGAAGTTTATGCTCAGATGACACTTCAACCTGTTTCTTCAGTAAGGACTTGATTCATAATAATTAAAAAGAGTAAACTTATTTTCGGTGTTTGGACTAATTAAGGAAAGCAGCCAGAAATGAACTGGCAATAACTGATCCCAATGCAATGTCCAAAAAATGGTAAAATGACCTCAGCATGTTGTTAGCTGCTAACTCCAACTGATTCTATCAGCAACCTTTTGCAGTATGACAAGGATGCATTATTGAGGTCAGATCTTGCACTGAAGTCAAATAAACCACAGACAGAGTTTTTCTGTAAAACATTAACAGCAAGCGATACGAGCACTCATGGCGGTTTCTCCGTGCCTCGTCGTGCAGCCGAGAAAATCTTCCCACCTCTTGTAAGATGCTCTCCATTAGTTCTAAAATAATGCCCATCTTAATCTTAATAGCATTATTTAATCTTTCCCCTCCCCATGAATAGGATTTCTCCATGCAACCACCTGCTCAAGAACTTGTAGCCAGGGATTTGCATGATAATGTTTGGACTTTTCGGCATATCTATCGTGGTAGGTTAATTTTGCAGCACGCATGAAGTCTAATTAGTTGATCTCATATGGTTCTCTTACCTACAATTGTTATTTGCTTGTCGTCACATTTGTATTATCTTATGTAAGTTCCTGGTTTCTCTAAACTTAGGACAACCAAAGCGTCACTTGCTTACAACTGGATGGAGCCTATTTGTCAGTGGAAAGAGGCTTTTTGCCGGCGACTCAGTTTTATTTATTAGGTAAGGATTAATGAATTCAGATTCCTTGTATTTATTTGTCAAAGGACTTATTTTACTGAAATTTGATTCTCATATTCATAGACATCTTAAGTCTTGTATGCAAGGATTTCAAGTTCAGTTTCACTTTCTTACAACAGACATGCCCTTTTAATCAACCTAATGATACTTAGTATATATGATTATAGAGATGAAAAGCAGCAGCTTCTACTGGGCATTAGACGGGCTAACAGGCAACCTACCAACTTATCATCATCAGTATTGTCAAGTGACAGCATGCATATTGGGATCCTAGCTGCTGCAGCCCATGCAGCAGCAAACAACAGTCCTTTTACAGTGTTCTATAATCCAAGGTTAGTAACTTTATTTTTCACCGTAGGATGCTTATTTTTTAAAATTTACCGTAGTAATATTAATTAGGTTGTGAGTGTATTGGATTAATTGACACCAGGTGCAATTTTATGTAGGGCAAGTCCATCAGAATTTGTTATCCCTTTAGCCAAGTACTACAAGGCAGTGTATAGCAACCAAATATCACTTGGCATGCGCTTTCGCATGATGTTTGAAACTGAAGAGTCAGGAACAAGAAGGTACATTTGATCTTATGGCACTTCTTGAATGTCATTTGCTAACATTATTGATTTCAAGAATTTTGAGCTTCAAGTGGAATTCTATTGAGGCCCGAGGGTTTGTTGTTGGGAATTTAGGAGCATGTTATATGATTAATTGACTCTGAAAAGAGTTATAGTTGAGCTGATTGCTACCTGTTCCTATTGAGCTGGTGCTTAATTCCTAGATTCTTTGCCTGCTGTTCTTAGAAAATGGTAAACTCAATTTTCTCCACCAATTAGAAAGTTAAAGAAAATGAATCTCTACTGCAGATATATGGGCACCATTACAGGTATCAGTGATCTTGATCCCGTAAGATGGAAAAACTCACAATGGCGTAATTTGCAGGTAGAAATTGTGCCATCCTTTTATGATTCTAATCATGCCTAAATTTTAGGTACTAAGTGAATTACCATTTAAACACTCCATGCTCTTTCATAGGTTGGTTGGGATGAGTCAACTGCTGGCGAAAGACGCCATCGAGTCTCAATCTGGGAGATTGAACCAGTGACTGCTCCATTTTTTATATGTCCTCCTCCATTCTTTAGATCTAAGCGTCCAAGGCAACCAGGAATGCCAGGTACAATATGAGTTGTGATCAATGCTTCTTTCATTGTAGGAAATTTTGAACTAACATTCAATGGTATACTCTGCTAGTCATTTTGGTTATAAGTTTATCATATGAGTTTTTTTGCTTCCATGTCACCCTGGAATTTTGGTTAGGGTACCCTATTACTTGGCATTTTCAGTGCTTTATGTGTGCTGGTTGCTATCCCTTTTTGTTAAACGGTCCTTCCTCTTTAGTTGTCTTTGTAATAGTGGATGGCACCATCTGGTTTATACTATCAAGTTGACTAGACGGTAATGATGTGGGGTAGGTTTTGATAGGATAGATTCTACCTTTTTGTCTTTTCTGTGTCAAAGTTTGACTATCAAGGTTTCTGCATGTGGTCTGTTGATACCAGATCTGTTAATATGATGATTAAAATCCTGAAGATGCTTCTCACTCTTTTCATGAAATTTAATAATGCCAAAGTACAGTTTCAAGCTTGACCACAATTTGGCCTTTCAAAGTTTTGGTGTCTCTGTTAAGAGTAAATCTGACTCACCTTTAATCTTTACTTTTGTAGATGATGATTCCTCTGATTTAGATAGCTTATTCAAGAGGAGTATGCCTTGGCTTGGTGATGATATCTGCATGAAAGATCCCCAGGCTATCAACGGCCTAAGTTTAGTTCAGTGGATGAACATGCAGCAAAACCCTACACTGGCCAACTCAATGCAGCCCAATTACATGCAATCCTTGTCAGGATCTGTTCTACAGAATCTTCCTGGAGCTGATCTTTCCCGTCAGTTAGGCTTGTCATCACCTCAAATGCCTCAGGCAAACAATATACAGTTCAATGGCCAAAGGCTGCCTCAGCAAGCACAGCAGCTTGATCAACTTCCAAAGCTACAGTCATCACTGAACCCGATGGGTTCCATCATACAGCCACAGCAACAAATGGGTGACATCTCGCAACAATCGAGGCAAAATTTAATGGCTCAAACTCTACCCTCAAGTCAAGTTCAAGCCCAACTTCTGCAGCCTCAAACTCTTGCCCAGACCAATAACATTCTTCAGCAACAGCCATCTATTCAAAGCCATCAGCTTCTTAGAAACCTTCCTCAAACCTTGCACCAGCAGCAGCAGCAGAACCAACAGCAACATATGATGGGTCAGAACCAACAGCAAAACCTAATGCAATCTCAGTTGTCTGATCAAGTAAGCCAACATATGCAAATGTCAGACAATCAGATTCAGCTTCAACTGTTGCAGAAGCTTCAGCAGCAACAGCAATCACTTTTAGCACAACAATCTGCAATGCAGCAGGCTGGTCAACTTGGACAGCTTCAAGATTCACAAAGGCAGCTGCTGGATGCATCCCAGAGTTTTTCTAGGTCTATGACCCCCAGCCAAATGTTGGAAATCCCTCAAACATCACCCACCTCACTCCCTCAGCCAAATACTATTTCACAGCAGTTGACTAAGACTAGCAGCCAAAACAATGCTCGATTCTCACATCCGCCTCAGCAGCCAAAAATTCAACAACAGCAGCCTGGCATCCTGCCATTGTCTGAAATGGCTGGTCATATGGGGCTTCCACAGAGCTCAATGGCCAATCAGCTCTCCACAGCTGGTAGCAATATATTGACTGCAGCTGCTGGACCTGGACAGTCTGGGATCACTGATGATCTTCCTTCTTGTTCTACTTCACCTTCCACAAACAATTGTCCAAACATAGTTCAACCAATGATCAACTGCCGGGCCCACCGAAGCACAGCAATGGGGGAGGACATGGCTCAGTCTGCTGCCACACTCTTTAGCCCCAGTGTATTGGAAACCGTGTCCTCTAATGGTAATTTAGTTAAAGATCTGCTGCAGAAATCTGAGGTTAAGCCATCGTTGAACATCTCCAAGAATCAAAACCCAGGATTTTTTGCCTCACAAACATACCTAAATGGGGTAGCTGCCCAGACAGATTATTTGGACACGTCATCTTCTACAACTTCAGTTTGCCTTTCTCAAAATGATGTCCATTTGCAACAGAACAACAATTCACTGTTGTATAATCCGCAATCAGTCTTGTTGAGAGACACAAGCCAAGATGGTGAACTCCAAGCAGATCCGAGGAATAATATTCCTTATGGGACAAACATTGATAGCCAACTTGCAATGCCAGTGAGTTCTGACCATTTATTAACAAAGGGCATGGTGGGGCTGGGGAAGGACTTCTCAAATAATCTTTCTTCGGGAGGCACGCTTCCAAATTGTGAAAACTCCAAAGATCCTCAACAGGAGCTTTCATCCTCAATGGTTTCCCAGTCATTCGGAGTTCCTGATATGCCATTCAACTCAATTGACTCAACAATCAATGACAGTAGCTTCTTGAACAGAGGTACTTGGGCAGCTCCACAGCAACAGCTTCAGCGACGGCGAACATATACAAAGGTTTGTTGTTTTCATCTATAGAATTCTATTTCTTATATGCAAGCATTCATGGACAATGCCCACCCTTCCAATATCTTCTTTGTTTATATTTTCATATCTATTCTTCCTGCTATTCCTTCTACTTGGCCTCCTAATTCTAAGTTGGTCAATGTTTACTGTAAAGGTGTACAAACGTGGAGCTGTGGGAAGGTCAATTGACATAGCCCGGTATTCAGGTTATGATGAGCTTAAGCGAGAACTGGCTCGTAGGTTCGGTATAGAGGGACAGTTGGAAGATCAACAAAGGATAGGCTGGAAACTTGTTTACATGGATCTCGAGAATGATGTCCTGCTAGTTGGGGATGACCCTTGGGAGTAAACCCTCTTAACTCTTTCTAATTTCTATGATATTTCACGGTATTTTCTTTAGTATGCTTTATGCTCGTGGTGGCAATATTAGACCTAGCCTAGTATTAAATTGTTCTCATGGTACTTCCCACAGAGGACATGTTGGGTAGATTATACTACAAGCAAAGCCTCTTATGACATCACCTCAAAAGATTAGTTTCTTGCTTTCTCACAGAAGGACCTTAACATGTTTCTTGAAGAGTTTCTTCTCATATGATGAAACTCTTCCAGTATCCTTTGTCCAAATACTGAACCCAACTAAGGATTTCAAGAATTTCTGATTTTTCAAATCATCCAGTCTCCTTTTTGCCTTCTAGCTTTGGCTTTGTCTTCTCTGCAGAAGTGGTTTTCCATCTTTGGAGGTTTCATTTAATCTCCTTGAATGAAAATATAATCTGATGCTCGCAGGAATGACTTTAGGACTAACTTTTCATGCATCTAAGTATAAGAAACGTCCAAATAATTTGAATGCGTCACTTGTATTCTGAAATATCTTGAAGCTGGAAGTACTATTTATAATTTGTCCTAACATTCTTTTGTTTGGTTGTTCAGAGAGTTCGTGAACTGTGTCCGCTGCATCAAGATCCTGTCTCCTCAAGAAGTCCAACAGATGAGCTTGGATGGAGATTTTGGGAACTCTGTTCTTCCTAATCAAGCCTGCAGTAGTTCTGATAATGTCAATGCATAAAGTAGCCTACTAAGATGCTAACAATTCTTCTTCCATGCGGGGACCTTATATTGTTTGTAGGATTCTGTTAATAGTTTTCCTATTGCTCGATGTCATCTGGGCTTTTCAGTCGCCTGCCGCCTGAATTTTTCCAGGCACCTGCAATGAGCAAGTAAAATGGCGAAGCTGTTCTAGCCAATTAGAGCTCTATTTTTCCTTTTAGCCTAGCTGTACATTAGAAAACACAGGTCAGGAGCAGGAAACTAGAGGTTTTAGCACCGGAACCATCAATCCCTGTCTGGTCCATGGTTTGTTCAGCTCGGTGGATAATACAGTTTGGTGTTTGCCGTTTCGGCTACTTGATACAGTGATGCTGTCGTGATGTATTTAATTAACTATGTTTCCGGTAGTCATGAGTTCTCCCACTCAAATGTATTGTAGAAAGCAAAATCATACGTTTGTATGCCAAGTTCTGAGTATAAATGTGTAGATTTCTTCAGTATTGCTATAGAATTGCCTCTAATCTTCAGATGTTTCAAGGTGCTATGGTGGAAGGTCTCCCCTCTCAAATCCCATTTTATCATAGGCCAAATGTGATCTGAATTACACTGACCATGATGCAAGCAATAACATGAAACGTTGTTCATCTGCCATTTTTAATGTCCAATGCTAATGAAATGATTATCCTTAATTAAAACTTGATGGTGGATTCAGCAACACAAAAAAGACGAGCAAATCAGAAAAATAGACATTACACTGGAAAATGTGTCTTTCTTAGCATAACAATGAACAAGAGAAAAGGATCGCTAACAACATTCAGGTCATGACATCATGAGGCATTTTCTGAAGACAATAGTTGACTGATCAGTTGCTTAAGAAATTCACAAGGCATTTTCTTAAGAGATCATTGGCTCAGGACTGGATGATGACAATATGTCCAACAAGGAGTTCTGTGGCTCCAGCTCCTCATGCCATCGGGGGAGCTTGTCCTCAGGGTAGTACTTTCTTGTCACCCCTTCTGAGTTTATCTGTGTAACGTGGAGTGTTTGATTGCCATAAAATTAGCAGAATAAAACATAAGAACTGTATTTATACACACCATAAGCAACTAATTAGAGCTTGTTTTAAAGATTAATTGAATGAGCAAACAGGAAGTGATCAAGAAGTTTTCATAAATAATTTATCCCAATCAAACCCTTCTTACGAGGCAATTGGAAAGAGAAAAAAGAGTAGAAGAAGCAACTCACAGTGACAGTCCGAACAACACCACCACTTGCACCATCACGAGCAATAGCAAGAGAGACTGCTTTCACCACTAATTGCTGCAAGAAAATCACCAAGCCTTAAAAATCCAAAGGCAGTGAACAGCTTAATAAATATGACCGATACAATCAACAAGAAATAAATAAAATGAGGGTCTTGGTGCAGTGAAGACGGCAAAAAAGATTGAGGAAGAAAAACAGCCAAAGGCAAGTTCTTAGCCATTGCCTATATGGGTTTGCCATGAGGCTTTGAAAGAATCACTCTGAGATGGGAACATGTTTCGATAACGCAAGAAATAAGGATGGGATTAACATGGTCTATACAATAAGGAAAAATTCTATATGAATCTCAGGGAAAAAAAAGAAAAAGGATGGCTCAAGAATCCACAACAAAACAAGAGAATAAATTCTTCAGGGAAAACATCAAGCATCATTGAACAGCTATTGAAAATTGTGACCAATAACAGGACCAAAAAGAAACAGGTTCCTATGAGTCCAGATAGCAGTTCCAGACCATAACATTTCATTATGTTCAAATACTTACAAACATACAGGTTAGACTACATACCTCAGCTTCTTCTTGGGTCATCCCTTCCTTCCATGCTTGATCGAAGAAACCATACAAGTAAGAGGATCCTGATCCTGTATACCACAAGCAGATAAAAACAATTAATCAACTGATGCTACTTTAGTCCATTTTCTGTATGATGTTGACAGATCAGTCAAATTTTACAAAACTGAAATAACTCCATCTACTGCAGACAATGGCGGCTCCCTCACAATATATCAGACAGTGGTGGCTTATTCAAGCTTAATTAGTCAATATGAGTTATGAGCAACAACCACCTGATGACATAAACAAAGAATAACCTATCACCAGCATTCATCCCCAAACACATCAGATTCAGGGAGTATAAAAATAGAATACCATAAAAAAGCCACAAAATTAAGTCTCTCAAGCAACGAGGGTCTTTTTTTCCACTTAAGTCTAAAGAGCGATGACACCATGGCAGGCTCACATTACTGCTGGTGATGCCACTGGCTAATTGGCATCGTTATTGCCAGCCAAGAAAGTTATAAGGGATTGACAAGTTTCTCAGGGCAGGTTGCACTTCCACCAAGACTTGCAAACAGGGTAGGTACAGGCAAGGCAATACTAGTGGCAACTGACAAGAGGGGTGCAAAAGGGAAAGCCGCCATAGAACCAAACGTTGCCTTAGGTAATTACACAAGTAGGGAAAACAATACTAAAATTCTATTATCATTGTTGCCAATGATTTAAACTAAACAAGTCATGTCTAAACAACCAGCAAATCAACAAGAATCACAGAAACAACACACATGGATTATTATTAGTGTACAAAAAGGCAAGCGATTCCACTTGACCCACCTCCAAGTGTAAAAGGCAGCTCCAAAAGTGTCCCTCCAAGAGGCACTCCATAAATTTTACCTCCGTCATACTTATCCCAACCCCCAATAATCATTCCAGTTTGCAACATATTCTGCCAAAAAATGCAAAACAAGAATATATCAAACCACAACCACAACCAATCCACACAATTAAGAACCCCAATATCAACATTAGCTACAAAGTCATGACAGAGAAGAATCGAAATCAAACCAACCTTGTTATTGTAAGACAACAACCTAACAAGATTAGCAGCAACCTTAACTGTCGCCGGCTGCCCCAATTGTATCCTACACACAAGAAACCCCAAACCCAAATTAGTTTCCAACTAATCATCCAAAAGACAAAAAACAAAACTTTACAGACAAGAAAAAGAAAAAAATTATTCTTTAAAATCCCTTACGTGTGTTGATGTAGAAAATATCTCACATAATCAGACACAGTTTGAGAATCCGCAGCCTATCAAAACCAAATCAGCTCAAAATAATTTTTTTTAAAAAAAATAACAAATTTAACTAACAGAAAGAGAGAGAGGAAGTTACATACAGATCCAGAGCGGCACAAGTAGACATTATCAGTAAGCTGAGTAATTTTATCAGATGCTCGATTTGCAACATAAACTCCTACAAAAGCCCACAAGAAAAATAGCAATATAAGTAATAACTTTTTTATCTTTTTTTAAGGGATTTTGAGGGGACAAAGAAAGTTTGATTTTTACCAGTGCTGGTGCGAGAATCGGCACCGAGGACGACACCACCGTTGTACGTGACGCCGATGATGGTGGTTCCCATAGAATGAGGGCCGTTGATCTCACTTTCCTTGTGTGATTCCATTGCTTTGAGAGAATTCAAAGCAGAAGAAGAACCCTAGATAGAGAGCTGAAATTGAATAAGGATAGGGGATTTTTTTGTCCTTAAAAGAAGCCAAGTATCTGCGACTTGTGTGTTAAGTCAGGGAAGAAAGTAAAATATTAATGTGCTAATGGGTCGGGTTTATGTGTTTGGGCCTGATTAAAATTGAGTTAATTATAATTTAGTCCCCATAGTTTACTCAAACAAATATATTAATACTCATTTTTTTATAAATTATATATTTCATCCTCGTATTTTTTAAATCCATTTATAACCTAGAGGATATTTGTTAATGCACTTGAAGGTGCTTTTTTCTGAAATAATAATAATAATAGATAATAATAATCAGAGTAATGCCTTTTAGGTTATTTTTGATAGTTTTGATATTCTTGTATCAAAACCATTGAAAAGAAACCTCGTAGAGCATCAATTTGATGCCTTTTCAAACCCAAAACACTTTGAAAAGCATAAGGAAAGAGTAAGTTATAAATTAGTTTCCTTGGTTTTGAGCAATGAATTGTTTAGTTCTTAATATTTTAAAAACTAATTATTTAATTATTTTCATTTATTTTATGTTTTTTTATTTTTAAAATAGAAAAATAGATATTATGGAAAGATTAATGATTTTTTTTAAATAAAATAATATTAAATTAATCGTTGTTAATATTGATAAAAAATTTAAATATCTAATTTATCTTTTTTTCTCAAATTAGAAGGACTAACTTATAATTCACTTCATAAAAAACACAATGAGAAAGTAAAAAAAAAAAGTGTGAAAGAAGGTTGATAAAATGATCAGATTAATGAGAAAAGAGTACATCATTCTTTGAAATAAAATTTTACTAAATTAATCACAGCCAATATTAGTTAAAAAGATTGAAATGTGGATGAGAAAATAATAGATTGTTTGGAACAAAATTTTACTAAATTGAAACAAATTGTTTACTTCGATACTTCAAGGACTAATCAATTTTTTTTATAAACTACGGAGACTAAGTTGTAATTACTAGATTTAAATAAGTCAAACAGCATATATAGGAAAAGATATGGTCTCACGTTAGACAGCTAGTGTTGTCATCTCGTATAACAGTAAGTCAAAGATGATGCGGTCCAAACACACAGAAATGGAAGATCACCAACAGCCGAATATGGAAGAAACAAGAATCTGTAACAGTAATCTGGTTTTTGCAGTGAATAACAAGAGGTTTGAGCTTCCGAATGTTGACCCTTCAACAACTTTGCTTCAGTTCTTACGAACCCAAACACCTTTCAAGAGTGTCAAATTTGGTTGCGGTGAAGGTATCAACCTACCTACCTGCTCCCTCTTTCTCTGCACCTATCTACCTACTCCCTCTCTCTCTCTCTCTATATACACACACACACACACACACAAAAGAACACACATGTACAGACTGTAAGTTGATCTTGTTAATGTTCGAATATTAAATTGAAGTATCATGTTTATGTTTCTGATGTGTTTTACTATATTGGTTTTTCTTTTTTGTTCTTGTCAGTTTGTTGTGTTTGTAAATGAGAGAATTTTTTTTTAAATGGGAAAAATCACAGGTAGCAACGATTATAGTTCGTCGCGAAAGGTTAGGTGATGAAAAGAAATGGTGTTTTGGTTAACGTTTCTTGTTCTGTTACTAGTATTCATGTTTGTTTGCTGAGAAAACATATATAGGGACATAAATATTAAAACCTTAATTTACAGTTGTACTATATGTTATCACTGTTAGGGACTTAACATAGGATGAAAGTAGTAGACTCAGTTACCTAGACAGACCTCTGTCTTCAAATTTTCAAGTCATGTAAGCGAGTATATACAAATGGGTACAGGATCATTGTTTCTGACATAAAAGCAAAGATTTCTGTACCTGTGATTGGCAGGATAGTTGCATGCCTTGAATTTTTCCTTCGTTGCAATATTGCTGTATTATGTATTTTATGTTCTTGTTGAGAACTAGAGGTGTCTTTTGTTGTATTCTTTCAGGATTTTTCAATCATAAATTTCAAGGTTGTCCTTCATTTTTTTGTTTCATTTTTTCTGCATGTCTTTCCTGAGTTTTCTTGGGAAAGGAGGAAGGATGGTTTTATTGCCTTATGTAAGGATTTGAATGACTTGAACTAACAAAGCAAGCTTAATTTTGAATTTATTCGTTTAGGTGGCTGCGGTGCTTGTATCGTTCTGCTTTCTAGGCACAATCCTCTGATCGATCGAGTTGAGGATTTTACTGTAAGTTCGTGTCTCACACTGCTTTGTAGCGTAAATGGATGCTCAATTACAACATCTGAAGGCCTTGGAAGCAGCAGAGATGGTTTCCACCCAATTCACCAGAGGTTCGCCGGCTTCCATGCTTCTCAATGTGGCTTTTGCACTCCTGGAATGTGCATTTCACTCTTCGGAGCCCTCGTTGATGCCGAAAACTCTCATCGGGCAGATCCCTCTCCGGGATTCTCTAAGCTGACGGTAATTGAAGCAGAAAAGGCTATTGCAGGAAATCTCTGTCGTTGTACTGGATATCGACCTATTGCCGATGCATGCAAAAGTTTTGCAACTGATGTTGATATGGAAGATTTAGGATTTAACCATTTTTGGAAGAAGGGAGACAGTCAGGCTACGAAGCTGAGTAGGTTACCTTCGTACAGCCCTAACAATGGGGTGTGTACTTTTCCTGAATATTTGAAAAGGGAAATCAAGCCTTCTTTGCCTCTGGATTCTGAAAAGTTCTCTTGGTACACTCCTTTTAGTGTCGAGGAACTACAGAATTTGGCAAAAGCCACTGATGCCAAAAGCAGAACCTTGGTGAAACTAGTGGTTGGTAACACCGGAATGGGTTACTATAAGGAACTAGAACGCTATGGCAAATACATTGATCTCAGGCATGTTCCTGAGCTCTCAATGATTAGGAGGGATCACACCGGTATCGAAATCGGGGCAAGTGTGACCATTTCTAAAGCTATTGAAGCTTTGAAGGAAGAAACTGAAGGTGAATCTCTCTCAGAATTTGCGTCAGTGCTCAAAAAAATTGCAGCTCATATGGAGAAAATTGCCACCAAATTTCTACGAAATACTGGTAGTGTCGGGGGAAATCTGGTGATGGCACAGAGTAAACATTTTCCTTCCGATATCGCTACAATACTTCTTGCAGCTGGTTCATTTGTTCATATACTAACTGACACCATGCATGAAAAGCTTACCTTGGAGGAGTTTCTCGCAAGGCCACCTTTGGATAATTCCAAAAGCATACTTTCAAGTATTAAAATTCCATGCCGGGAAACAATCAAGGACGACAGATCTTCTGAAATGGATAGGAAGTTGTTATTCGAAACCTATCGAGCTGCACCACGACCACTTGGGAATGCTTTGCCCTTTCTAAATGCTGCCTTCTTGGCTAAAGTTTCCCACAGCAAATCTTCTGGTGGAATCATCATAAACAAATGTCAACTGGCTTTCGGTGCTTACGGGACCAAACATGCTATCAGAGCAAGAAAAGTTGAAGATTTTTTCACTGGGAAAACGGTAACGATTGGGGTGCTGTATGAAGTTATGAAATTGGTTAAAGCTACTGTGGTACCTGAAGATGGCACTTCATATGCTGAATATAGATCAAGCTTGGCTGTTGGATTTCTTTTCCACTTTCTTGGCCCCGTAACAGACACTACTGAGAAAATTTCTAATCATTGCTTGGACGAATACAATAGTAGTTCATCCTATAATGATGCCAAGGTAAAAGAGAAGCAAAACCAGCTTGATCATGCCAATGCGAAGGCCTCCACTTTGATATCATCATCAAAGCAGGTAGTCCAATTGAATAGAGACTATCTTCCTGTTGGTGAGCCAATTGCAAAATCTGGAGCTGCTCTTCAAGCTTCTGGTTTGTATACGTTTTTATGTTCCTTACGCATGTGGATGCATGTGTGTGTGTGTTTCTATGAAATAATGCTTCAAAATTCAGGAAAATTAATTATCCGTGGTAAGTCCTCTTTGTTTTAAGGAAATGAATAGGTAGATTCCTGAGCTTTCCAATTGAAATTTTTTGGATCTTATCTTTGTTAGAGGGAGAGGAATTCAAGAGAAGAAATATTTATTTGTAATACTCACTCCACTTACATAGTGTCAAATGCCAAGGTATATATAAGTACTCCTAACTCTAGTTACATGAACTATAATTAATATCCTATACATGAATCATAATAAATAGGTATGTTCACTATTCGGTGAAAAGTAAATAATTAAACCAAACCATACCGAAATATCAATTTTGGTGTAGTTTTTTTTTAGAAATTAAAAAAAAAAACCGAATCAAAATAATTTTAGTTTTTGGGGTCGGGTTTGGTTTTAAAAAAAAAAAAACTGAAAAACCTATATATATATGTTAAGTCAAGTCACTCACAACACCCATTATTCCCAAATTGAAATATCTTTTTCCCTTAGATACACTTCCTCCCACAGACTTTGTATGTGCTCTTTCTATCTCTGCTACAAGTTTAGATGTAGGTAAAATAGCAAAAATATTGATAGATTTTCTATCATCTCAAATTCAAACCTTCTTAAATGAACAATTTATTATTTGTTTATCTACCAATATCTTTGCTATTTTTTTTTGGACACAATTTAATTTCTTAACTAGTAGTTTACAATATAGAAAAGAAACAAACTCTAAACAAAGATTTAAGAAACTTTAATAGAATCAGTCATTTTGAGAAAAAAATAAAATGGATAAAAATTAAATTATCGAATATTGAAACTGAATCAAAAAACAAAAAAACATTCTAGTTTTTTTTTTTTTGAAAATTTGGTTAGTCGAACACTATCCGAAATATTTCGAAACCAAACCGAATAACTGAACGAACACCTCTAATAATAAATACTAAATACATGAATTATCCCAATATCTATATTCTCAATGAGCTTAGTCACTGAAAAAACATAAAAAACCACATGTATCTAGTCACAAGAGAAATCTAGAAAATTCAAATTATCATTTCAACAATCTAACCATGCAGGTGAGGCTGTTTATGTGGATGATATTTCCTCTCCTGCAAATTGTCTATATGGAGCATTTGTCTACAGTACAAAGCCTTTTGCAAGGGTAAAGGGCATAGAATTTAAGTCCAAATCGCCGACCGATGGAGTTGCTGCCCTCATTTCTTTCAAAGATATCCCAAAATTTGCAGAGAACATAGGTTCTATGTTTATGTTTGGCACTGAATCTTTGTTTGCTGATGAATTTACTCGGTATGCCGGAGAACGTCTTGCTCTTGTGGTAATCTATGATCTACCATTATTCTTTGTCATCGTTTAATTCAGTTATGTTGGTCGTCAAGTGAGATCGAATTATGCAAATACGCTTTTTTTCTTTGTGGGTTTTTTGTGCCTAATCTAGTCTATGAATTCAATATCTCAGGTGGCAGATACACAAAGAAATGCAGATTTAGCAGCAAACCACGTAGTGGTTGATCATGACCTGGACAATATGGAACCACCCATTTTAACTGTAGAAGAGGCTGTAGAAAAATCTAGCTTCTTCGAGGTCCCTCCTCGATATTGTCCTAAGCAAGTTGGTGATGTATCAAAAGGAATGGCTGAAGCTGATCACAAAATTCTCTCCGCTGAGGTATTCAACTTTTCATCCATGATTTTTCTTGAATCATCTTTGAACTGCTAGGATTTGAGCTCACTGCATGCCAACCTCTTGCTGTATGATGACATCCAGATCAAACTTGGGTCACAATACTTTTTCTATATGGAGAATCAAACTGCCCTTGCTGTACCTGATGAAGACAACTGCATGGTGGTTTACTCCTCAACTCAATGCCCACAATATGTACAAACTACGATTTCAAGGTGTCTTGGAATACCTGAACATAACGTGCGTGTGATCACAAGAAGGGTTGGAGGAGGCTTCGGTGGAAAGGCCATGAAATCAATGCCTGTGAGTATTTATCTAGTCACTGTACTTTTTTCAGCACATAGAGCAACTGAACGCTACAAGGTTTCTGCACAGTTTGACATTTTAAAAGGCGATTCGCCAGCCCATAGCTATACATATATATGCTCTGGTTCAAGTACTGACCATGGGATGTCATGTTTTAGGTTGCTACAGCATGTGCACTTGCAGCGCATAAGTTACGCCGTCCTGTCAGGATGTATCTCGATCGTAAGACTGATATGGTAATGGCAGGAGGAAGGCATCCCATGAAAGTAACATACAGTGTAGGGTTCAAATCTAATGGGAAAATTACAGCCTTACAGCTTGATATATTAGTTAATGCTGGGATATCTCCTGACATGAGTCCATTGATTCCCGAACACCTACTGGCTCCACTTTCAAAGTATGATTGGGGTGCTTTATCTTTTGATATAAAGTTGTGCAAAACAAACCATTCTAGTAAATCTGCGATGCGTGGCCCTGGGGAGGTACAAGGATCATATATTGCAGAAGCTGTAATTGAACATGTAGCATCTGCCATTTCTATGGAGGTAGATTCTGTGAGAAATATAAATCTCCACTCGTATAATAGTCTCAGCTTGTTTTATGGTGTTGGCTCGGGTGAGCGTTCAGAATATACGCTAACTTCCATATGGGATAAGTTAGCCACATCTTCAAGCTTTCACCAACGGGTTGCAATGATAGACCAGTTTAATGCGTGTAATGTGTGGCAAAAAAGAGGCATTTCTCGAGTACCTATTGTGCATCAAACAGTAGTGGCACCATTTCCAGGAAAGGTTAGCATTCTAAGTGATGGATCTGTTGCTGTTGAAGTTGGAGGAATAGAGCTTGGCCAAGGTCTTTGGACGAAGGTAAAACAGATGGCTGCATTTGGTCTCGGTTCAATCAAATGCGAAACAACAGGATCGGGCCTCTTGGAGAAAGTACGGGTCATACAATCTGATACCTTAAGCTTAGTTCAAGGAGGGTGTACTGGCGGAAGCACCGCATCGGAGGCAAGCTGTGAAGCAGTTAGACTTTGCTGTAAAGTATTGGTCGAGAGACTAACAACTCTAAAGGAAAAGTTGCAGGTGCAGAAAGGTTCAATAACATGGGAAACACTCATTCTCGAGGTATAGCTATCTTTATTTCCGCAAAATTCTACTTTAAATTGTTGTTAGAGACTGAAACTCCTGCAAAAACTGACCAATGCTTTGGCCTTTCTGTTTTCGAATATATTAACTAACTACACATCACTTGATCTTACCTTTACTTCTTCTAATTTATTAGTTTCCCGAGTAATTCAATACTCCTGCAAGGTGTATCTTGTCAGAAGAATCATTTCCAAGAATTGGTCATCGAGGAGATAGTATCTTGTAAAATTTGATCAGCTTTTCATACTTCTGTTCGGATATTGGAGATCCTTGGCATCTTAGTACTATTTTAATTGATCACGATGCAGGCATATTCAGAATCCGTGAACTTATCAGCAAGTTCTTACTTTGTCCCCGGTATTACTTCCAAGCAGTACTTGAATTATGGCGCTGCAGTAAGCGAGGCAAGTTAATTTTCTAGAGAACCTTCTTGTTCTTTCCCTTTGGTGCATGATCAGAAACTAAAGCTGCATGTTTCTACACATCTGGCCCGCTTTGGTGCATGATTAGAAACTAAAGCTGCATGTTCCTATATACCTGGCCTAATACATTGTTGCCTAATATATTGTGAACCTTTCGGGGGCTCCGCTCTTGAGCCCCCTCAAGAGGTGTTGCCTCCTCGATTCTCACTCGCTAATCGACTAGCGAGACCACTGTGCTGACTCTGCGTAGCCTACTAGACTGCAGGTCATAACTACATCAGTCTGCACAAACTTAACTAAACTTGCTTCAGGAAATATGATTACGGTACACAAAACAAGCCGTTCTATTTGATTATGTGCATAAATATGCTAATGTGAAGTTTCGATGATATAGGTGGAGGTAAACCTTTTAACAGGAGAAACATCAATTTTGAGATCTGACATTATATACGACTGTGGACAAAGTCTCAACCCCGCTGTGGATTTAGGACAGGTAATTAGCTAGCCATTAAATTCCCAACACAACATTGTCAAAAGTTTGAAGCTTTCATGCCTTGTTATTCTTAAACTATCATGTCAATCATAGCATCAAATAATAATCATTATGTAATGTAACGGCTATTATTTAATAAGTTTGGACATTCAGACTTTCGTTGTATGATATTATAGAGAACCCAATAGCATTTCACCCAAATAACGGTAATAATAGCGTTATTTGGTGAATTATGGACCAAATAACAGCAGTTATCTTATGATTTAAAGAAAAACTTTTGATTCTTTACTTTAAAATAAATTTATTAACCGTTATTAATATAGTTACGATTTATTTGTTGCTACCATTATTTTACCGTTGCGACTGGAACTATTTTTACAACTGTGCAATTTAAAAGACATATTATGAGGTTGATCTTCATGTTCATCTCTTATTTGAGAAGCAAGAATTGGTTTTTGCAGATTGAAGGAGCTTTTGTGCAAGGAATAGGGTTTTTCATGCTTGAAGAATACCTGACAAACTCAGATGGATTAGTGGTAACGGACGGGACGTGGACATACAAAATCCCTACTATAGACACCATACCAAAGCAGTTTAATGTAGAAATACTTAACAGTGGCCATCACCAAGATCGTGTTCTCTCTTCAAAAGGTAATTAAGTTTTTCAACATCCATAGAAATAGAAAAGGTCCAAGATGACCTGATCATTTGAACTTATAAAATTAACCATGTGTTCTGCTTTATTGTGCAGCTTCTGGTGAGCCACCATTACTTCTCGCAGCTTCAGTGCATTGTGCTACAAGAGCAGCTATTAGAGAAGCTAGAAAACAGCTCCTTTCATGGGGTTGCTTAGATGGGTCTCCTTCAGCATTTGACTTGAAGGTTCCTGCCGCCATGGCTACTGTGAAGGAGCTTTGTGGGCTAGGCATTGTGGAGAGATACTTGGAGTGGAAAATGTGTAGCAAGCGAAAAACTTCTTCAAACTGACTTGAATAAAAAGACTGGAATGTGCAGGAGAAAGTGTTACTTTTGCAAGTAATAAGATTTCAACCAATGAAACTCCTAAATTATATGTTTGTATCAAATATTTATTTTCTAGAAAATGTAACTAGTGACATGTACAATAGTTACTCATTGGATCCACTTTGAGGAAAGCGATAAACACATAAAAAAGAAAAAAATTATATCCATACCTACGAGAAAATGATAAGAAGATTTTCGAGGAGAGAGATAAACACATAAAAAAAAGAAAAAAATTACATCCGTACCCGCGAAAAATGATAAAAAGATTTCCAAGTCCGTTCAGATTTTTTTATTTTTTCTCTCATATTTTTCTCTTCTCTTTTTATGTGTCTATCTCTTTCCTCAAAATGGACTCGAAGTAATTACCGTACATACCACTAATTACTTTTTGTGTATTATAAAATTTATTTCATTTTTTTTATCCTTGTGTTTTTAATTTAGTTAATTAACCCTCAAGTTTTTTGAATTTGTTCAATTAACTATCGTGTTCTTTGAATGTGTTTGGTAAATCCAAATAAGTAACTTTTATTGAGTTTTGATATTAATATACATACTAATCATGTGATAATTAAATATTTTTTTATTATGAGATGACTTTTTATACTCACGTAGAACTTGTATTATCAAATAAAACATCTTATCTTATTATTTCTCTAGGATAATTTATTTGGAGATAAGCTCTGCATAAATATAAAAAGTTATCTTATAACTAAAAAATATTTAATATCATCATATATGCATACATAGTAAAATGAATTAAATAGTCTTTATTTTTTTCAAAAACTAATTAATTAGTCTCTTGATCGGTTATCTTGATTATTTTAATATTATTTTATTATAAAAATATCTTTTTTATCAATTTTTTATAATTTTTACTTTTTTTGTTTAAAAAAAATTGAAAGAGAGTAAAAAAGATTAAATTATAAATAGATTTAACAATATAGAGATTAATTAATTAGTTTTTGAAACTAGATGGATTATTTAATGCATATTGAGAAACTAAAAGAACTGATTTATAATTTACTAAAAAATTGCTATCTTAAAAAAAATTACCAAAAGAGAAAAAACAACAAAACCCAATAAAATCCTTCTGGGCCCACTATAGCCCAACAAAACCATGGCCCATGATTATTATCTAAATAATGTAATAATAACAATAATAAAATTTAGGGCTCGCTCTTGAACCGTTTCTTTCTGCCTCCATTTGCCAAAAGAAAGGTACTTCCTCCTGCTACTTTCCCTCCATTGTTTTTTTTTTTTTTTTGCCCTTTTCCTTCTCTTTTCTGCTTGGTTACCGAGAAAAGTAGTGAAAATTAACAAAACCCCAGAATTTTGAATACTTTATGATGCATTAGTTGCTCAAATTTAAATGGGTTTTCTCAGCAACCAAGCAAGAAGAAACCACTTTCGTTAAAACCAAAACCTCTGTTTTCTAAGCTGAAGTTAGAAGAAAAACGAAAAAGAATTAGGGTTTTGCTTCCATTTGATTTTCTTTGATGCCTGTCAACTTGCTTTCGTGCTTTAGATATCTTTTACTTTGACAAAATCTGAACTTCATTGTTTTTGTGTATTTTTTGTTCGTATTAGCAGAAAGAAGTGCACAAGTTTGGAAGATTTTTGCTTAATTTAGAGTGAGTTAGGAGTGGAATTAAGTTAGAAATCTATTAATGGAGGAGACACCAACGCTTACAAAGAGAAAAGAACCTGAGAAGGAGGAGGAGGAAGAGAAAGCCGAGATTGCTGCTACACCACAAAAGCAAGAATCTGCTTTGAAAAAGAGGAATTTGACACGGACTTGTGTTCATGAAGTTGCGGTCCCAAGCGGGTATGAGCCAAATAAAGATGAAAACCTTCATGGCACTTTGTCGAATCCCTTGTACAATGGGGAGATGGCGAAGAGTTATGAATTTGATCTTGATCCTTTTCAGAAGGTGTCTGTAGCTTGTTTGGAAAGGAATGAGAGTGTTTTAGTCTCTGCTCATACGTCTGCAGGGAAAACTGCAGTTGCAGAGTATGCGATTGCAATGGCTTTTAGAGAAAAGCAAAGGGTTATTTATACTTCTCCGTTGAAAGCTTTGAGTAATCAGAAGTATAGGGAGTTGCATCAGGAGTTTCAAGATGTTGGTTTGATGACTGGAGATGTTACTCTTTCGCCAAATGCTAGTTGTTTGGTTATGACTACAGAGATTCTTAGGGGGATGCTTTATAGGGGTTCAGAGATTTTGAAGGAAGTTGCTTGGGTTATTTTTGATGAGATTCACTATATGAAGGATCGTGAAAGAGGGGTTGTTTGGGAAGAGAGTATTATCTTTATGCCACCAGTGATTAAGATGGTTTTTCTTTCTGCGACGATGTCAAATGCCACCGAGTTTGCAGAATGGATTTGTCATTTGCATAAGCAGCCATGCCATGTGGTTTACACAGATTTTCGACCAACTCCGTTGCAGCATTATGTTTTTCCTGTGGGTGGTGTTGGGTTGTATCTTGTGGTTGATGAGAGTGAGCAGTTTAGGGAGGACAATTTTATGAAGCTGCAGGATACTTTCTCAAAGCAAAAAGTTGGTGAGGGGAACAAGAGTGCTAATGGTAAAGCTAGTGGAAGGATTGCAAAGGGTGGGAATGCTTCAGGGGGTTCTGACATATACAAAATAGTCAAGGTTCGCCCTCGTATTTGTACTTTCACTCTTGATTGTAGTATTATAAGGCGCCTTCATTTATTGCTTCATTGAGTGTTGATAGTTATTTTTGTTATTATTTCTCTCTCCAATGAGAGCTTCTCTAGCACCACATATAGTTTTCTGAGTTTCTGTTTTCCTGATGCTATCTATAAACTGAACTCTTCTTCGTAGTTATTGCTGAGAAGAAACTGTTTTGTGAACAGATCTCAGATGGCTCCTCAGAGTCTCTAAATACATATGAATAAGCAACTTTCCAATCTGTTTTTTCTATTCTCAATATTCAAATTAAATTTGCTATATGTAACACACTCTGTTAAAAGAAATGAAATTTATTGTTTATTGACATAATACTGGTGCGTCTTATTATTTGCTCTGAGTTAGTGATTTCCTATTTCATGATGTGAGTGCGTTTGATCGGTTCATGCATTTTCTGGATTTTTAAGTGGAGATTCGTTGTTTGTCCTGTTCATCTTGACAGTTAGTTGATAAAATTGCTCAATAATTGCATTCATATGTAATTTCAGATGATTATGGAACGGAAGTTTCAACCAGTTATAGTTTTTAGCTTCAGTAGGAGAGAGGTTGAACAGCATGCCATGTCTATGTCTAAGCTTGATTTTAATACACAAGAGGAAAAGGATGTTGTGGAGCAGGTTTTTAGCAATGCCATACTCTGCTTGAATGAGGAAGACAGGAATTTACCTGCTATTGAGTTAATGCTGCCACTACTTAAGCGAGGCATTGCTGTCCATCATTCTGGTCTTCTCCCTGTTATCAAGGAACTTGTAGAGCTTCTTTTCCAGGAAGGCCTTGTTAAGGCTCTATTTGCTACAGAGACAGTAAGTTACTCTTTGCAGGAAACCAGGGTGGGAAGGGGGAAAAGGGTGTGCTCTTTTAGTTATGATCAGTTTGTGGTTTCTGCTGTTAACTTCAATCTTGAACTGCCCAAAAAATATCTATCCTTTATGACAGTTTGCTATGGGTTTAAACATGCCTGCAAAGACTGTAGTTTTCACAGCTGTTAAGAAGTGGGATGGTGATAGTCATCGTTACATTGGATCTGGTGAGTATATCCAGGTAAGTAATAATTTGCTGCGCCTCTCTAGAGCATTAAAAACATAAACTTACACATCTACGCATATATGTGTGTATTATTGTTAGTTTTTTATTCTACTGATTTCTACAGATGAGTGGAAGGGCTGGACGACGTGGCAAAGATGAGCGGGGTATTTGTATCATAATGATTGATGAACGGGTAATTCTATGCGAAATGTCAATCCTGTGCGTTTATCATTACTAGTGTAATAATCTGCGTGCACATTTTATAAATGTATAAATATGAAAGTCAACCTTCATTTTCATTTGAATGCATGCCCATATTACACATGTAAGCCTTTTGTGTCAAAGGAAAACTAATGGCATTTAGTTCTAGGCATGTAGCAGCACATCATGGTCTCTTGCTTAGATCCTTGATAAAGGCAATAAAACAACCTGATCTTCTCTTTCAAATTGCTTACCTTTTATGTGACTTTTCCAGATGGAGATGAATACACTCAAAGACATGGTTTTGGGTAAACCAGCTCCTCTAGTTAGTACTTTCAGATTGAGCTACTATTCGATCTTAAATTTAATGAGCCGTGCTGAAGGCCAGTTCACTGCTGAACACGTGATAAGAAATTCATTTCATCAATTCCAGTACGAGAAGGTTTCTGTGAAATCCCTCACATCCTTTTGTGCATGCAGTTCTTGAATTCATGAAGTTTCAGTCACTCATAGATCTTTATCTCTTTCAGACTTTACCAGACATAGGGGAAAAGGTTTCAAAACTGGAAGAGGAAGCTGCTGTTCTTGATGCTTCAGGAGAGGTAATCATTTCCCTCTATTTTAAGTACTTTTTTTTTCTTGAAATAATATAAGTTGATGCTATATGAATTTATGGTGTCTTGTATAGGCTGAAGTTGCTGAGTTTCATAATCTAAAACTTGAGATGGCCCAACTTGAGAAGAAGATGATGACAGAAATAACAAGGCCTGAAAGAATTCTCTATTATCTATGCACTGGTCGGTTGGTATGTACAGATGATGAATACTCTTGTTGAAGTTTGTGTGCTACTAAATGACTATTATTCTTTTTCTGGAATATTACCTCATTAGTGATTGATTCCATTACAAGCTGAAGTTACTTACATTTCATGCTGAATGTCGAATACTGTGTCATATATGTTGCTGGGATACATGGACATAAGAGATCGGAAAGACAAATGGGGCCAAAGTTTATAAATTTGAC